TTGGGGGGGATTCACGCGAAGAGCTGTTCGGATTGCACGCCGGAGGAGGACGCCTCGCCCCGCTTCTCGACGGGCTCGAGTTTCTTGTTGGTCGGCAGCACGAGGTCGTGGAGGTGACGGAGCTCGGGGGGTCTGTCGGGGAGGGCCATGCCAACGCGCTCGGCGTGGGAGCCGAAGGTGAGGCGCTGGACATTCTCGGCGCCGAGCTCGATGTCCTCCTTCTCGGCAAGCTCCTGCGCCTTCGCCTTGAAGCTCGGCATGAGCCAGAGGTTATTCGGGCGGCTCTCCGCGATTTAAGAAGATGTCGTAGAGGCGGTCGTCATTCTCGCAGTAGGTCGTGTAGAACTACGCCACCGCCAACTCTATGAGCCTCCTGCCCTTCTCGTTGAAGATGTGCCCCTACTCGATGCACTTGAGAAAACCGCCTTTGCAGGCCATTTCGAGGGCGGCATGCTGGGCGCTGCTTGACCACGAGGCGCTTTCCGCCTTGAAAGAACAGGCCGTCATTCTTGCTGCGTCAGCGCCTTGCACGCTCGATTGGCGCAGGCGCATCTTGGCAATGGCGATCTTGTCTGCGATGAAGGACTGTTCGCCGAGGATCTTCTCGATCTGCTTGGCCATGCGCTCGAGGATCTCGTTCGAGTTCGGGCTCGCGACTCCTTGCAGGGCAATGACAAACTGGGTCGCCGCCTGGGCGCGCTCGGCGGCCTGGGACATGGCTGAGGCCCGCGACGCACTCAGGGGCAACGATGCGAAGGGGATAGGCATTGGGGGGGGAACATCGACCTGTAATGGGCGATACATCGCCGATGCATCGGCGATGCGCGCCCGATCGTGAGTCCGCACGATCCTGGGCAGGTTCGGCCACTCTCTGCGAGCACAAGCGATTGGGGATTGATGTGTCCCCATTATGCCTTCTCCCCCTATCGCTGCCCCTGGGGCGAAGAGGCTCGGCGCCTCGAAGAGGCTCGAAAGCTTGAAGTCTCGGAGACTCGGGGAAGCTCGGGCCTGGGCAGCTGCGAAGGGAAGAGGAGGAGGAGGAAGAGGAAAAGGAGGAAGAGGAAGAGGAAGAAGGGCCACGAACCGTGTTAGGGATGCGCTGAAAACGTAATTAATTCCAATGCCCTGCCTGATCAAAAAACGCATATAACATCAATATCCAATCGGTCCCCATGGCCCTGCCACACGTTCCTGACTCGGGAACGGCTGAGAAAGTGGGAATCCCATGGCCCTGCCGCACGTTCGTGACTTCGGCAAACTGAACTGGTGAGAATCCCACAGCCCTGCCACACGCTCGGGACTGCGGAAGCTGATTTGGTGAGACCACCATGGCCATGCTCAGCGCTTTTGATGCTGTTGCTAGTCAGCATGAAAGTATAGCAACTTCGATTCGCAACTTCCCCCCTGGATTATGAAGTTCGGCCTCCGCGCCCCTCTACGCACACAGTAAGTGGCACGCGTGCCCTGGCTCTTGCACATTTGAGGAGAGAAAGAAGAGGAGGGGCATTTGGGGGGCGAGAGGGCCAAGGGATGGGGGGCCAGAGCCAGGGGGACGGAACCACGACAATAAAGGGCCCGGGGCTGGGAGGGCTGGGGCCAGGGCTTGGTCCGGGGCGAGCGGGGGTCCAGCAGGGCCAGGGCAGGGGGACTGAAGCTCGGACCAAGGGCCATAAGTCCTGGTTCGAACAACGAAAATACGCGGTCCGGGGCGAGGAGGGCTGGGACGAAGGCCAGGGTCGGGGCGAGTGGGGCCAAGGCCAGGAAACAAGCTGAGTTCAGCCAGGGCCAGAGGGCTGGGGCTCGGACCAGAGGCCAGAGGTCCGGGTTGGGGCCAGAAGGCGAGGGGGGGCGGGCCACAGCCAGGGGGACCGGGGCGAGGGGAAGCGGGCCACAGCCAGGGGGACGACGACAAACCACGAACCACTAAAATAAAAGTGCCGGGGCAAGGGGGGCTGGGGCCAGGGCCAAGGGGCGCCAGAGCCAAGGAGGGACGCCGGGTTCAGGGCCAGGGCAGGAGGACGGGGGCGAGGGGGCCAGGGGAAGCAGGCCAGAGCCAGGGGGACGACGACGAACCACGAAAACAAAGTGTCTGGGGCGAGGGGGGGGGCGCAAGAGCCAAGGAGGAGGGAGGCTGGGTTCAGGGCCAGGGCAAGAGGACGGGGGCGAGGGGGCCAAGGGAAGCAGGCCAGAGCCAGGGGGGCGACGACGAACCACGAAAACAAAGTGTCTGGGGCGAGGGGGGGACGCAAGAGCCAAGGAGGAGGGACGCCGGGTTCAGGGCCAGGGCAAGAGGACGGGGGCGAGGGGGCCAGGGGAAGCAGGCCAGAGCCAGGGGGACGACGACGAACCACGAAAACAGAGTGTCTGGGGCGAGGGGGGGGCGCAAGAGCCAAGGAGGAGGGAGGCTGGGTTCAGGGCCAAGGCAGGAGGACGGGGGCGAGGGGGCCAGGGGAAGCAGGCCAGAGCCAGGGGGACGACGACGGGTTCAGGGCCAGGGCAAGAGGACGGGGGCGAGGGGGCCAAGGGAAGCAGGCCAGAGCCAGGGGGGCGACGACGAACCACGAAAACAAAGTGTCTGGGGCGAGGGGGGGACGCAAGAGCCAAGGAGGAGGGAGGCTGGGTTCAGGGCCAGGGCAAGAGGACGGGGGCGAGGGGGCCAGGGGAAGCAGGCCAGAGCCAGGGGGACGACGACGAACCACGAAAACAAAGTGTCTGGGGCGAGGGGGGGGCGCAAGAGCCAAGGAGGAGGGATGCTGGGTTCAGGGCCAGGGCAAGAGGACGGGGGCGAGGGGGCCAGGGGAAGCAGGCCAGAGCCAGGGGGACGACGACGAACCACGAAAACAAAGTGTCTGGGGCGAGGGGGGCTGGGGCCACGGCCAGGGGACGCCAGAGCCAAGGAGGGGGGCTGGGCTCAGGGCCAAGGCAAGAGAACCGGGGTTCGGACCAGGAGCCAGAGGTCCGGGTTGGGGCGCGGAGGCCAGGGGATGGGGGGCAGGGAGACAACGACGAGGATGGGAAGCCAGAGCCAGGGGGACGACGACGAACCACGAAAATAAAGAGGTCCGAGCTCTAGAACACAACCGTGCAAGATAATTACGCAAATCCGATATAAAAATACGGGGGAAACGGGGGGATGGTTTATTATCGCCCGCGCGCGGTTAGCACTGATGACGCTGGCGATGATGCTGACGATTGTGCTCTTGAGGCTGATAGGGGAAGTGCGCGCTCGCAGCAATTCAAGCCCTGACACCTTTGCAGTGAAAACCAATACGAGCTCCGGACGCATTCGAGAACCATTCGGGGTCGGCAACTGGAGGAGGCAGCCACAGATGCACGCGCCTGGGCGCTCATGGCAGAAGATTTCTGTGACTTCGTGAGTGTTTCGCTTTTGTGCCCCGGCCCAGTTGTACTAGTGGCTGTTTTCTGCCCGCACCCTCAGTGACCGCCCTGCGCGGGCATGCAGGCCTGACCTGACCTGGCCTGGCTCTGGAAGTCGTCGTGCGCGTGCAGGGGCGCGCGCGTGTGGTCAGGCATGGTGGATGCTGCAGAGCCGGCGGGCGCGCGCCTGTTGCTGAACGTTGTCGCAACGCGCGCGCGGGGCCCGCATGCGTTCGACTAAACTCCCAAATCCCGATGGCTCACCCATGATTCCAGTGAACGCGCGCGAGCAGAAATCTGGCAACCTTTTCCCGAAACAGCGACAGCACAGCGACTTTCGCCGAGCGCCCGTCGAAGTGACTTTCGCCGAGCGCCCTTCGAACATTTCGGAGCGGCAAGTACCCATGTTCGCGTCGTGAGAACTCAAGATGGAAATTTGTTGGCCTGGGCCCCGGGGGCTGTCAAGAAACGACCCAGGATGCAATAGCGGTCCTGGGGAAGGGGTTGGGACCTCCGGGGGCCCCGTACTGAAAAAACAAGACATGCCTGAGGGGTTGTCTGAAAAATGGAGGAGCGTATGCGGAGCTCCCATCTTTGGAAACCGCGCGTATTTACACTAAGGTACCTGGGCCCTGTCCCATGGGGCTTCCCAGAAACGCCACAGGACACCGCATAGTGTACAGCTTGTCGGCCCCGCTCTCTGGGCGACAGGTGCTGAGAAGGGATATCTACACTGCGTGTGGGACAGCATTCGCCACGAAGTGGTGGACAAACACAGCAATTCCTGGCCCCCAACAATCAAGCCGCTCCGCTGCACAGCGCCGCCAGGCGCCTTGCCGCCCAGCGCGCAGACCAGCGCCTCTGGGCCTCGGCCCGCCTCCGCGGACCAGCCCCCTCGGACGCCTCACGCTGTGAGAACGCGTGCACATCAGACAGCAGGCGTAGCTACCATCACGGTCGGGGACGTTTGCCCAGCGTGTCGCGGCGGCGGCCCCGGCGACACGCGACAGCGTGTCGCTCCGCTCTGCGGGGCGGGAGGCTCGGGAAGCCTGGTCGGGACGTTGACCTCTGGGACGGGGGGCGTGGATAGCGCGCCGCGCCGAATCGCGGTGGGCCATGCCGGCCAGCCATAACTGGGGGAGCTGTGGTCCTTAACCCCCGGGGGGAACCCATCGCGTCGACGATCTCTCGAGAGGGGTCTCGAAATCGATGGGCCCCCCAGGGGGCTGAGGACCACAGCTCCCCCAGCTGTGGCTGGCCTGCCATGTCCAGCGGAGCGACACGCAGAGCCCAGGCTCCCGACCGCAGCTGTGTACAGCCGCAGAGCCCCGGCCGGCGCAGGGCTCGGCCCGCCCCTGCGCCGCCGGCCGCGCAGCGCCGCCGGGCGGCGGCCGACGAGCGCCGCGCGCCTTGGAGACGCTCGGCCCGCTTCCGCGGGCCGCCTCCCCCCTGGGCGCTAATTCTTGAGGCGGGGGGCGATGAATGGGGGTGGGGGGGGGGCCCTAGAAGTCCCCTCCTGGGCCCGAGAGGCCCCCTCGAGGGGCCCGACAAGGCCCCTGTCTGCAGCCCTCGCTGCCCCCCCTCGTGCATCGCCCCCTCCCATTGCGCGTCCTCCGACCCCCTCAGACCGCCACCTCCGCGCTGCCGCCGCCCGCCGCGAGCGCCGGCGCCTCCGCACCCGCGGCGGCCGCTCGGCCAATTGTGGCCGGATCCGGCGCCCTGGCCTCCTCGGGGCCAGAGCACCGCATAGGGCAAGCGCAGCGGGCGCTGCACTCCGCTGGATGCACCAGGAGGCCGCAGCAGCTCAGGTACCACCCCCGGATGCACTCCGCTCGGGCGCTGACAGAAGCGCCCCGCCCCCAGACCTCCGGCGTCACACACGGCTTAGTGCCTCCCCTGCGATCCTCGCGTTGCAAGTGTTCACAACGGGCGATTTCGCCCAGTTTCGGACCCCGGGCCCTCACAGATCGATCCAGCTCGAAAAATGCAGAAAGATGAGGTCCGGGGCTCTGGCGGAGAAGTTGGCCCTATTGTATTTGTTTTGCAGCGTCGGATCTCAAGGTCTCCCGTTCATATGGAGCTCCATGCCGGGGCCCGTCCCGCGCCCTGGGCCCTGGGGGCAATCAAATAACGGCTGGGGAGGAAAGACTGGTCCCCGACGGCACGAACAACTCGTGGCATCAGACGTCTGGAAGCGTCCCTGGCCCAAGGCGTCCCCAGCTTCAGGGGAAACCAATGTCGAAGCCTCGGGTTTCCCTTCTGGCCCTCGCACGGCGAAGCTGGGTGCTGGCAGGGCCCCCCTGGGGACGCCGTGGGCCAGAATCACGTGTGTCGGTGCCCGACATGTGTGGAAGACGTGCCTGCATGGCAACTGGCAGACCGCGTCGTCCTCCACGAAGTCCGACAGGCAGATGGCGCAGCTGTCTTGCTGGAGATCGTCCGTGCCACAGGAGAGGGACCTGAACTGAACGCTCGGGAACCGCTGCAGCCGCGACAACACCTTCTCACGCTCCAGCTGCTCCAGGCCCAAGCGCACGAGCCAGTTGCACCTCCTGCGCCCGAACTCGGCGAAGATCAGCGGGAATATGCTCACGGTCAACGCCACCGAGTGCCAGACCCTCGTGCCGAAGTCGAGGTAGTCGTGCGCGACCACGAAATAGAAGGCGGACAATACCACGCTGAGGAAGGACGTAGTCTGTAGCAGGGCCAGACACTTCCAGATGTCGGGGTGGACCTCGGAGATGCCTCCAAACTTGGTGAAGCGGCAGAGTATGGACATCGCGACAGCCATCAGAAGGAGCTTGCAGAACACTATCCCGACTTCTATGAAGGGCCAACGTCTGACGGGCATTGAACAAATCCACCGTGGATCTCTCCTCTCGCAGCCTTGACCTGCGGCGATGTCGGAGAATAAATCTCCATGAACACCAAACATTGTTCCTCGAATTATCATGTCCGCAAGATACGCGGACACTAGCAACGTCACCGTGCGCCAGTAGGAGTGGCCAGCGCTGTAGCCTCCACCATTGCTTAGGGGAGGCGCAATCATTGCTTGGGCACGCCACTGATCGGACAACAACTTAGCATAACCACTTAGCTGCGACCGACGGCTCGAGCGTACATCGACTCGAGCCAGCGTAACTGCAGACAAACTGTGAGGAGCATGGGGATCAGTCGCAAGCACATGCATATCAGAGCGAGGGGGCCACACGGTCATCCACTGTCCCTGGGTGCGTGGCCGAAGTGGGGTTCCGCGGTGCGGATTGTTGTTGCGTTGCGCTGCGTTGCGTTGGTGTCGTCGTCGCCACCCGGCCCGCGACCCACCCCTGACCCGCCCGCGACCCACCCACGACCCACCCGCGACCCGGCCCGCGACCAACCCGCGACCCGCCAGCGACTTATTCGCGACCCACCCGCGACCCAACCACGACCCAGCCGCGACCATCCCGCCCCCTCACTCTTATCCCAATTGCCGGGTGCTGAGTAGTAGGGTAGGACTAAGAAGCCTCACTCTGAGCAGGGACCGACCGTCCCGGCATTCCTATAGTCCTACCACGAAATGTTCTTAGAACCCAAAAATGTTCTAAGAACAAAAACAATGTTCTTAGAACAATAACCAGATGTGTTAAACCAAGACAATCTCCGCCAGAAATGTTCTAAGAACATTCCGTGGGAACCGTAAAAGGCTCTTAGAACATTGTTTGGTAGGGCTATAGAGGAGCCGGGACGCTTCGCCACTGCTTGATCACTGTCATCCTCGTCCTCTTGCCTCCTTCCGCCACTGTCCTCCCTCCGTCCCGATCCCCCCCTTCCCCCCCCCGATACCCCCTGACATCTCCTTGCTCCCTCCTCCTTCCCCTGCCTTTCTCTCAGCCCCCCTCCCCCCTCGCACTTCCTCCCTCCCCCCGCCCCTCCACCCTCCCTCCCTCGTCTCCCGTCGTGGTGACAGCAGACTTTGGTTGCTGTGTGCACCAGCCTGGCACCCGCGGCCCTGCCTACTTCGGACGAGCGCCTGCAGGCTTGCTCGGCCTACGTTTTTGAGCAGCTTCACGCCACGGCCCCACTGACACGCCAACACACAGATCGGTGCCATCACCCCAATGGCCCCACTAGATTTCTCGGGGGCAAGGAGAAGACTCGAGGGCGCACAGTCTTTAGGACAGGCGCCCAAAAAGACCCATCCAGCAGCGATGTGCGCGCACCTTGCAGCATCCATTCCATCTTCTACTCGAAGAACCTTCGAAGACAAACCAGCTGGCGAATCGACGGCATCGAAGTGCTGACGGCCTGGAGGCCTTTTCCGATGCCGTCAGAAAATGACCTAGGGTCAGACAACGACCCAGCGGAAGAGGTCGGACGAGAGCTTCAGGATTCAGGGACCCGAAAAACTCGAGCCGCCGAACATCTGGGACTCGACCTTTGACCGAGCAACGCCTCCCGAGAACCTCTATCGCGACACGGCTTGTCTTAGATCCGGGGTCCCTGGATACTTGTTCTAGGCCGCGGGGGACCGTCAAACAACGGCCCGCGGCGAACGATCGGTCATGGGTTCGTGGCCGACGTCGCATTGGAGTCACGTCGTCGGAGGCCTGGGTCTGTCGAAAGCTGTCTCGGAGCAGTGCCGTGGCTGGGATGAAGAGTTCAGCACTGGAGAAATGGGTCACCTTCGCGGCTCGGCTTGTGGTAGAGCATCGCAAAGGGCAGGCATGGCAGAGCAAGAATGCTATACAAAAAACGCCGCCTTGCGCTGCACGAGTTGCGCTCCCTCTCGTGCCTCCCACTTGGGCCGATCGTCAGGCATTAACCTGCCAAGGCGCCCATTACCGATGCATGCGCGTTGACTTGCACATGCAAAGAATGGCACGTGTGGACATCGCAAAGCTGAGGTGATGAGGAGCACGAGGGCAAGCGCATGCACATGTGAGGACACAACAGCTCGCACTGCCAATGCTCGCAACGGTGGTGTGTATGACGTGAGATAGACGTGCTGCTCAACGAGTCACGCTGTCATTGCTGCCCTCCGTGCTGAAACTTTGCTCTCGCAAAGAAGAAACGAGGAGCCTGCCAAAACCACAATGCCACATCCCATGGCTGCCCATGACCACGATGCTGGCGCCAGGTGCCAGAACTGGCGCTAGCAGCACAGTCAACAGAAAGTGGCCTAAATGGTTAGTCGCCATCACCCTGTCGTGACCGCTCTTGGACACAAAATCTGCATCGCGCTTAGAATGCACTGCCCTCATCGACCACTCGGTAGCGAAATTCGCATATGCAATGCCGGCATTGAGGTACAGCATCTGCACCACTGGCATAGCAGCGCTGACTTCAGCGGCGAATCGGTGCACGTCATCGAAGTCCCCGAGGTCCATCGCGATAGGAACAGCCCGCCCACGGAACGCATCTGCGGGGGCGACTGGAATCATCACGCACGTCACAAGGATGCGATCGTACACTACTCAGCCCATGTCTTTGGGTAGGCAATGTGCCACCATGCCTGGACCTGGGTGGCTTACCTCTGCCACGGTGCGAGAGGTGAGAGCACGGACATCTCACCTGTCCTCATCACGCAAGGCCCACTAGTCTCGCTCTCGAGTGGAAGGGCTGCTGCGAAAGCAACATGTCTAACGACTACTTGGTGAAGATTTCAGCGAGTGGGGCGTCTGCGAGAGGACATCCGAGATGACACGACAAATAACTCTTCAGCTGGGGCCAGCACATAAGGAAGTCAACTCAGACACAAGGATCGACCTGTTGATTCTCGCTGGCTTCATCAAAACTCTACCGCCTACCGCGCACGTGCTGCTGTGTAGATCTCAAAATCAAAATAGGAAGAATCACTCACTTGCTGTACAAAACAGACACATATTCTGGAACAAGACATCCACATTCGACAACCGTTGGGCAAGCGAGGCCTGCAATGCTCTGGGAGTCCTGCGGTTGCGCGCAGGCCTGTAGGGGGGAGTGAGGAGGAAGACACAGGAAGGGGGATGGGAGGTTTGGAGAGGGGACGAGAAGACGACGAGGAGGAGGCAAACGGGAGGAGGACGGGAACGAACGAGTGAGCGACCACCAAGGCGGAGAAGCGTCCGGGCCTCGCCGATTCTGCTAAGTACTGCGCCGCGCGAGACAGCAACAGTTCGCCAGCACGACGGAGCAGAGGCGTGCCGAGATCTCCGGGTCCAGAGGCCCCGGAGACCCCCTCCTTGGGCCCCACAGGGCCCCTTTGGGGCCCCTTTTCTGCAGCCCTCGCTCTCCCCCCCCCCCAGGCATCGCCCCCCATCAGGTCGCGCCCAAAAAATTCGCGCGCGCGGGGCCGCGTCCGCGGGCGAAACATACCCCAGGCGGTCCCTGGGCAGGTCCCGTGCGACTCCTGGGCGGCGGTCCCCATGGATGCCGGAATTCACGGGGGCGGTCTTCATGGCCCCCAAGAGCGCCCCACGAAGACCCCGAGGGAACCCGAGGGAGCTCCAAGAGGTTATTCGAATCGGGATCCATGGGAGATAGGTGTCACGATGGCGATACACTCTTGAAAAGGCTTCAAGATAACCTCCACATGGCAACATACAGCTCCAAGCGGCCCCCAAGAGGCCAGGTATCATGGATGTTGTTCATGTGTTCGACAGATGCTTAACTTGCCGCCTTTCAATCTTCGAACCGCCCTAGACGGCCCATTGAGCCCTAAGACTGCCACAACTCAATCCAAGAGGCTCCTATAGGACGGCCACGATACGCCCCAGGAGGGCCCCAAGATGGCCCCAGAGGCCTTCCAAGAAGCCTCCAAACCTCAAAGAGGGTCTGGAGAGGGGGGATGCGAATTATAAGTTCGAGCCCCTTCCTGACACATGGCCCTCCGCACCACAAGGAAACCCTCAAGAGGAGCCAGGGAGACCTCCGAGAGGCCCGAAGCCGCCCCCAAGATGCCCCCAAGAGGCCCCACGAGGCTCCAAAACGACCCCCAGTGCCAACGATGCTATATTGGGCCCCATGAGGCTCCCAAAACAGCCCAAGAGGGCCTCGATAGGGAGTCCAAGAGAGGCAAGGGGTACACGAACGGTCATTTCAAGCCCTCTGCCCCAGGACACCCATGACTCTGGGGCCCATGACTGCTCAACCAACAATTCAAAACACCTACCACCACCCATCAGCGCAGCAGTGGCAACGAACACGCGGGCAAACGCCCGCGGTGGAATAGCCTTGGCTGGCGTAATTCGCCGGCCCAACGGGCCAGAGGCGTGCTAAGATCTCCGGCAACTGCTCAACAATATTTCTAGTTCGCGCGCGCGGGGCGGGCCCTGGGGGTCCCCGGACGAAAAAGACCCCGGCAAGGTCCCGGCAAGGTCCCAGCAGACTCCCGGCAAGGTCCCGGCAAACTCCCGGCAGACTCCCGGCAAGGTCCCTTTTCGGAGCCCAGGAGGGTTCCAAACTGTCCAAGAGAGGCCCGAGAAGCCCTCCAGACGCTCCAGGAGAGCCGGGAGACGCCGAAATATCACTCCCAAGCGCCTGCGATGGCCTCACGACGGCCCAACAGGCCTTCAAGACGCCCCAAGAGGTCCCTAAGCGGCGCCCCAAGAGGGCTCCCACAAGCAAAGATCGTCCCATTCCTTTGGGAAAACGTGCATTTTTAACATATCCACCTCTTCGTCTTTCACACCTTTCAAGGCGGCCCAAGAGGCCCCCAAGATCACCCCAAGACGGCACGAGAGACCCTCTAGACCGCTCAAAGACGGCCCAAGAGCGCTCCAAGAAGGCCCAAGAAACCCTCAAGAACTCTTTTCCGGAGCCCAGGAGGGCTCCCAATCGGTCCAAGAGGGGCCCGAGAAGCCCTCCAGAGTGTCCAAGAGAGCCGGGAGACGCCGAAATATCACCCCCAAACGCCTACGATGGCCTCACGACGGCCCAACAGGTCTTCAAGACGCCCCAAAAGGTCCCTAAGAGGCCCCTAGGAGGCGTCCCAAGGGGGGTTCCCACAAGCAAAAATCGTCTCATTCCCTTAGGAAAACGTGCATTTCTAACATATCCGCCTCTTCGTCTTTCACACCTTTCAAGGCGGCCCAAGAGGCCCCCAAGATCACCCCAAGACGGCACGAGAGACCCTCTAGACCGCTCAAAGACGGCCCAAGAGCGCTCCAAGAAGGCCCAAGAAACCCTCAAGAACTCTTTTCCGGAGCCCAGGAGGGCTCCCAATCGGTCCAAGAGGGGCCCGAGAAGCCCTCCAGAGTGTCCAAGAGAGCCGGGAGACGCCGAAATATCACCCCCAAACGCCTACGATGGCCTCACGACGGCCCAACAGGCCTTCAAGACGCCCCAAAAGGTCCCTAAGCGGCGCCCCGAGAAGGCTCCCACAAGCAAAAATCGTCTCATTCCCCAGGGAAAACGTGCATTTTTTTAATATCCGCCTCTTCGTCTTTCACACCTTTCAAGGCGGTCCAAAGAGGCCCCCGAGATCACCCCAAGACGGCCCGAGAGACCTTCAAGACCGCTCAAAGACGGCCCAAGAGCGTTCCAAAAAAGGCCCAAGAAGCCTTCAAGACGGTCCAAGAGGCCCCAAGACGGCCCCATGATTGAGGTCCACAAGGGCAACCTGAACGGAAATTTTGAGCCTCCCGCCCAAACACGCCCCCGAAAGGCCCCTAGAAGCCCCCAGGTAGCCCCACGAAACCCCCAAGAGGCCCCCAACAGGCCGCAAGAAAGCCGCAAGAGGCCCCCAAGAGACCCCCAGGAAACTCCCAGGAGGCCCCCAAGAGGCCAGGCAGACCCCCCCCAGAGACCACCAAGAGGGCCCACCCAGAGCCATCCACGAGGCCTCCCAAAGTTCCCAAGAAGCTCCCACGAAGTTTCCAAGGGTTCCCAAGACCCCACGAGGCCTCCAAGAGCTCCCAATAAGCTTCCCAGAAGCCTCCAAGGGCTCCCCAGAGGGTCACAAGTACTCCTCCTGAGAAGCTCCTTAATGCTCCCAGAAGAAACTCCCAGAAGCATCCATGAGCTCTCCGAGATGCCCCCTCCCCAAATCCCCAACACTCAGTTTTTCTCGCGTCCCTCACCCTTGGATCCTTCACTGCGTTTTCCTCCAATTTCGATTGGATGAGGATGAGCTTGGGGGGGTCCTGAAAATGTGTGGGGGGCTCTGGAGGTCAGCGTGAATTCTGAGGTTGTCGGTTGCGTGTCTTCTGTAAACACAACCAACTATATGAATAATGCAAAGACCGCACATACATCACCGATCCCCAACTGGCCCACGTGTGTATGCATTCGGCAACGTGTATGATGTGGGATGTCAAGCGCGACTGGCCCCATCCTCCTCGAAGTGGTCGCCCTCATCATCCTCCGCCTCCACCTCCTTCTATCCGTCCTTCCCTCCCTCATATCCCTGCCCCGCCTCCCTCTCCTCCATTTTCTCCTTTTCCTCCTCATATTTCCTCCCAAAGTGGGGTGGGGCGGACCCCGGGCGAACCCTCAGGAACCCCGACAACATACAGGAACCCCTGCAACGCTCCGAGGAGGAGGAGGAGGAGCAGGAGGAGGAGGAGGAGCAGCAGCAGCAGCAGCAACAGCAACATAACGGCCCACAAGACGCCCGAACTGCCCAAGAGAGCCCCAAGAGGGCCCCAAGAGGGACCCAAGAGAGGGAACACGAACCGACAATTCGAGACTTCCGCCCCAGGCAGCCCCCACGAGGCCCCAAGAGGCCTGCAAGAGACCCCAAGAAGCCTTAACAGAAGCCCCAAGAAGCCCCCCGAAGGCCCCCAAGAGCCCTCAAAACTGCCTCCAAAGAAACCCTCCAAAGGCCTGCCACGATATCTCAACGAACATCCAAGAGGCCCCTGACCTACAATCCAAGCACGGTGGCGGGATGGGCCGAAAACCACTAGATCCGCCGCCCCCTGCTTGCAGGGGTGCACGGCGTGCTGGACGATTCAGTTTTGGTGTTGGTTCTTTTTCTAAAAGAACTCCCCAGTGGGCTTCGGCCCGCCCCGCCGGCCACCCGTAATTTTCCCAAAATCCGTCTGTCAATGCCTTTGCTGCCCCAACTTGGCCCAAGATGGCCTCCAAGACGGCCAAGATGGCCCAAGATGGCCTCCAAGATGCCTCCCAGACGGCCAAGATGGCCTCCAAGACGGGCAAGATGGCTCCAAGATGCCTCCAAGACGGCCCAAGATGCCCTCCAAGACGGCCAAGATGGCCCCAAGATGCCTCCAAGATGGCCCAAGAGGCCTCCAAGACGTTCTCCAGGAGAGCCCGAAGAGGCCAAAATCATTGGTTTTCCTTAGGTTTTTGAAGGTTTTTTGCGTTTTCTTCTTTTCGGCCTTCCGACGGCCCAAGAGGCCCCCAAGATCGCCCAAGAGGCCTCCAAGAAGGCCCTATGACGGCCCAAGGGCCCCCCAAGACGGCCCCAAGAGCGCC